GCAGCAGCGCACGGACCTGAGGGTCATTCTAATGAGCGCCACCATCAACGTGCACACCTACTCAGCTTACTTCCACAATGCCCCTATCGTCACGGTGAGCCGCACTGCACATCAGCCCTGTGCCGAGAAGGTCTTCGCCCCTGTTCGCTCCTCTCTTTGCCTGCTCTCCTGCTCTCCTGTTCGCCTGCTCTTCTGCTCGTCTGCTCGTTTGCTAACCTGCTACACTGTCACCACCGTGGCTGCCCGGCCTTTCCCCATGTACCATACCAGGTCCCTGGTCGCACCTACCCCATCACCATAGAGCATTTGCCTCAACCAGCAGGCGAGACGGGCCTGGCTGTTCCTCCGCCCGCCACTGCTCACACCTCCACCACCAACAGCAACCCCACTGCCGCTCCCGACGCTGTCAATGCAACTGCTGGTGGTACTGTGGCTGCTGCTGCGGCTGGGGTGGGTCTGAGGAGAGCCGGAGGGGGAGGAGGTGCAGGGCGGGTGGGGAAAGAAGGGCGGGTGGGCAGTGCGGCGTATGTGCGTGTGTTGGAGCGCATTGATCAGCAGTTCCCTGCGGACCAGAGGGGCGACCTGCTCGTATTCCTCTCAGGTAGAGTTCTCTCGTGCTCTCTCTGGTGCACGGCTTTGCTTTCTGTAATGCATTGCACCATCGGTGTAAGGCTTCCTTTTCTGCAAGCACCAGGCAGCATTCCTATCCACGTGTTCCTGCCTCTCTGAGCATTCAAGGTGCAATGCAATGTCTTTCCAGCTCTCTCTTACGCTCCCCCTCTCCCTCACTTCCTGCACTCTCCCTCTTTCTAGGTTCTTTACCTCTTTCTCCCTTTTGCGTGCAGGCATTCAGGAGATATCGGCAGTGGCAGCGGCAGTACAGCAGTACGCACAGGAATCCAAGAGATGGCTTGTGCTGCTCCTGCACTCCTCCCTCTCCTCCAAAGAGCAGGTTCGTCTGTTTTTCAAACATTGGCTTGTTCCGTGACTCTTAGTACTGACTGCTCAGACACAACATGCCAGCCATCCTGGCTGTTCTCCCAGCCAATGTACAGAAGAGACCCTCCTGTTGCCTCTTCCCTGCTGCTTCACTGCTGCTAACTGTCACTCTGCCGCTGCCCTGCCCGGTGCTGCCCCACTCCCCTCCTGTGTTGTATGTGTGTCCATGCACAAACCGTCATGCCCCATGAACAGGACAAGGTGTTTGCAGTGGCGCCTGTGGGCGTGCGCAAGTGCATCCTATCGACCAACATAGCGGAGACGAGTGTGACGATAGACGGGGTGCGCTTTGTGGTGGACAGCGGCAAGGAGAAGGCCGTCACGCACCTCGCAGAGATCGCAGGCAGCACACTGCAGGAGCAGTGGGTCAGCCAGGTGTGCTTTGCTTTGCTCTCCTAACTCGGATATATGCACATGCCAGGTTGTCCATGGTGGATATATGCACGTCTGTGGTTTCCTTTCTCAGCTTTCAGGTTTGCCGTGGGCAACCGCTAGTTTCGTTGCCTAACTGTGCCTTATCTTTCCACATCTCCCCACTTGGGCGTGTCAAATCAAGGCATCAGCCGCACAGAGAGCAGGCAGGGCGGGGCGAACGGGTCCGGGTCATTGCTTCCGGCTTTACTCGAGAGAACAGTTCAATGCAGTGAGTGAGACAGCACATGCACGCACACACCACCCACGGTGCTGCTGTGATCATATCATGTGGAAAATGGCATCACGATCATGTAGCCCAGCTAGTAGGGATTTTTTTCTGGTAAGGTCTCAGGTTCGAATCCTGCAAAGCCTCCGGGCTGCCAGCCATGCCGGGAAACCGGGAGACCGGGAGACCGGGAGACCGGGAGGCCGGGAAAGTGGGAAACCGAGAAAGAAATCGGGAAACCGGGAAACGGGGAAAACGGGAAAGCGGGAAACCGGGAAAGCGGGAGACCGGGATACCGGGAGACCGGGAGACCGGGAGACCGGGAGACCTACGTTGGCAGATACGCGTATCACGTATAATACGCTAGCGTATTATACGCTGGGTATATACGCCATACGCCATGGCTGGCGTACTGCTGATACGCTACAATACGCTGGGCGGGCAGGAAAAACTTTTTTTCCCGGGCAGGTTCCGCCCTCGAACTGTAGGGAGTAGAGGTCGCCATGGCGAGGAAGTGCTAAAGCTAGGAGAGTTCGAGCTCGACGAGAGTTGGACGAAATGCAAGAAGAGAAATGCGGGATTGAATGAAAGACGGGCTGTTTAGGGATTGAGGAGATGTTCGAACAAGTGAAAGGGGGGAGGTTGGGTTTGGGAGGTTGAGAGGGGTGGTGTGTGGTTGGGGATGTGGGAGGGGTTGGATTTTGAATTTCGAATTGCAGACAGGGGTTGGGTGCTGTGCGAGGTCGAGGGTTCAATTCTCGCCGTCGCAAATTCTCGCAAAGTTTTTTGAAGCTTTTTTTTTTTTAACGGGCTGCCCCGGCGTATTTTAGCGGTTTCCAGGCGCATTAGCGTATTTCGTACATACGCTAGCGTATATACGCAATACGCCCACCCCCCAAGGGCGTATCTGCCAACATAGCGGGAGACCGGGAGACCGGGAGACCGGGAGACTGGGAGGCCGGGAGGCCGGGAAACTGGGAAACCGAGAAAGAAACCGGGAAACCGGGAAACGGGGAAAACGGGAAAGCGAGAAACCGGGAAACCGGGAGACCGGGAAACCGGGAGACCGGGAGACCGGGAGACCGGGAGACCGGGAAACCGGGAGACCGGGAGACTGGGAGACCGGGAGACCGAGAAAGTGACCGGGAGACCGGGAGGCCGGGAAACCGAGAAAGAAACCGGGAAACCGAGAAACCGAGAAAGAAACCGGGAAACCGGGAAACCGAGAAAGAAACCGGGAAACCGGGAAACCGGGAAACCGGGAAACCGGGAAACCGGGAAACCGGGAAACCGGGAAAAACCGGGACCGTGCCGCCGGGCCGCCAGCCGTGACGCCAGCCGTGACGCCAGCCCCTTTGCATTGCACTGCACTGCCTTGCACCCCATCTGCCTTGTTTGGTAGCAATCCTGAATTTTGCATGTGTGGATGTGTACAATTGTGCGTGTGCAGTTCCGGCAGTTCTCCATACCGGAGCTCCTCCGAGTGCCTGTGGAGTCGGTTGTGCTGCAGATGAAGGTCCGTCTACCGTGGACCTACATGCTATCCCTACCTCTTCCCCATGTGCCATGTCATGCCAAATCCTCCTTTCCTATTTTGTCAATTGAGTCCCCCTCTTCTCTTCAATCTTGGCCCTCCATTCAGCGCTCTTTTGACTCCCGAAATCTGCTTTCCTTTTCTGTCCCCTTCTTCCCTGCCCCATCATGCCACCATTCCCCGTTCCCCAATCACTCGCCCTCCGTTTCCTCCCCTCATCTCTCTCCCCTCTCCCCTCTCCATCCATGACACGGCAGATGCTCTCTCCAGCCTGCCCCCTCTCTCACTTTGGCTTCCTAGACGCCCCATCCCCATCCGCCCTCCATCGAGCCGTGCTCTCTCTCACGCACCACGGGGCGCTCGCACCCCCCGCAGCAGCACCACCACTCACCTCCACAGGGGCACCGCAGCAACCAGAAGCTGGAGGCGGATGGGCAGGAGAGGAGGCTAAGAGGGGTGCAGGACTGCGAAACGGGGGAGATAAAGGCAGTGCTGCTGGTGATGGCAGTGGTGGCGGTAATGGTGATGATGAGTTGGTTGTGACGCCTCTGGGGCATGTGCTGGCTGGGCTGCCCGTGGACATACCACTCGGCAAGATGCTGGTGTGTCTCTCTCTTTCTGCCTCTCTGCTGCTCTGCTGCGCTCTCGTTCACACTCTTCTCCTAGCTTGTTCTCATCCCGACTTATGCAACTATTAACATTCGCTGGATGTCTCGTGCTGCTGCTCCTGCATGCCTTCCGTTGCTCTGTGTAATGCACTCTGTGCAAGAATGCTTGGCTCCCACCCGCATCCCCACACCCCACCAGGTGCTGGGTTCGCTCTTCCCGCCCATAGCACCCCTCATAGCGCTCCTCGCAGCAGCACTGGCGGTGCCGTCGCCCTTTGTGCGTGTGCCCGAGGGCGAGCAGGGGGAGAAGATCCGCACCGCACAGCACCAGCTGCGCAGCGGGGACGGGGACGCGTTCACGCTCATGGCAGCGTCTGGTGAGTGGAGCAAGGTGCAGAGGGAGTCCAGCAGAGCAGCGCACCGGTAAGGAGCTGGAGTGGGTAGTGTTTGGTAGTGTCGGTGAACCAACTGGACATGAGATTTGCAGGCATCGATGTTCGCGCTCATGGCAGCGTCTGGTGAGTGGAGCAAGGACTCCAGCAGAGCAGCCCGGTGGTGAGGAAAAGGGAGGGTCTCATTTGCCACAGACGCTTCGGAATAAAGATCCATGAGGCGGATTTTTTACATTATAAAAACTCACATCAAGCTCCACGCTCCATTCTTGCGCCACCACCCTTGCGCTTCCACCTTTGTTTCTTGCACTCCGTAAACTCCCCTGCTCCTCTCCACTCTCCGTGCACACTCCTCTCCACTCTCGGTGCACACTCCTCTCCACTCTCGGTGCACACTCCTCTCCACTCTCGGTGCACACTCCTCTCCACTCTCGGTGCACACTCCTCTCCACTCTCGGTGCACACTCCTCTCCACTCTCGGTGCACACTCCTCTCCACTCTCGGTGCACACTCCTCTCCACTCTCGGTGCACACTCCTCTCCACTCTCGGTGCACACTCCTCTCCACTCTCGGTGCACACTCCTCTCCACTCTCGGTGCACACTCCTCTCCACTCTCGGTGCACACTCCTCTCCACTCTCGGTGCACACTCCTCTCCACTCTCGGTGCACACTCCTCTCCACTCTCGGTGCACACTCCTCTCCACTCTCGGTGCACACTCCTCTCCACTCTCGGTGCACACTCCTCTCCACTCTCGGTGCACACTCCTCTCCACTCTCGGTGCACACTCCTCTCCACGCCTCTCATGGCGCTGACATGACATGGCAGGTGGTGCAAGCGGCACGGGGTGGAGCCACAGCGGCTGATGGAGATGGCAAAGCTGCACCGCCAGTTCACACAAATCCTGCTCTCCACTCGCCTGCTGCGATCCCCAGGTGCGCGTTTCTGTATTGAAGGCCAGATGATGGATAGTCGGTTCGGCTGATGAGAGAGTTTATGGCTGCTGCTGCTGAGACACATCACCTGCAATGTCACGCCTGTTGGCTCCTCCTGCACGCACCACACTTCGAGAGGATCAGAGGCGTGTGGATTGTGACCGGGCTCAACAATCAATTTGTGTGTGCTTTTCTCCTCTCCCATCTGACTGCTGGAGCAGCACAGAGGCGGCAGCAAATGCAGCAGGGGAGGAAGCGTGGTCGGTGGGACAGAGAAGGGAGTGAGGCGGGTGAGGGGGGCCTGGGGGGTGACAGGAATGGAGCGAGGCACAGCAGATGGGATCGGGACGAGCGGCGGCAGCAGCTGATGCAAGTCCAGGTCCGTTTGTGTGGCATGACAGGTTGTGGCATGACAGGTTGTGGCATGACAGGTTGTGGCATGACAGGTTGTTGCGTGACAGGTTGTGGCATGACAGGTTGTTGCATGACAGGTTGTGGCATGACAGGTTGTTGCATGACAGGTTGTGGCATGACAGGTTGTGGCATGACAGGTTGTGGCATGACAGGTTGTGGCATGACAGGTTGTGGCATGACAGGTTGTGGCATGACAGGTTGTGGCATGACAGGTTGTGGCATGACAGGTTGTTGCATGACAGGTTGTGGCATGACAGGTTGTTGCATGACAGGTTGTGGCATGACAGGTTGTGGCATGACAGGTTGTGGCATGACAGGTTGTGGCATGACAGGTTGTTGCATGACAGGTTGTGGCATGACAGGTTGTTGCATGACAGGTTGTGGCATGACAGGTTGTTGCATGACAGGTTTTGGCATGACAGGTTGTGGCATGACAGGTTGTGGCATGACAGGTTGTGGCATGACAGGTTGTGGCATGACAGGTTGTGGCATGACAGGTTGTGGCATGACAGGTTGTGGCATGACAGGTTGTGGCATGACAGGTTGTTGCATGACAGGTTGTTGCATTGCGTGGCGCATGTGTAGCATGGCGGATTGCAGCATAACCTGTAGCAGCATGGCAGCTGCAGCATGGCTGGTGGTGTGGTGACCTGGCCGATTGTGGCATAGTAACCACCTTGACGCGGCACCACGTTTAGTGCTTGCATCCTGCCTCCTCTTCCCACCTGCCTGTTGCTCCTGCAGCGTATGCGGCAGGCGAGGGAGAGGGGCCAGAAGCAGCTGCGCCTCAGGGCACACAATGACGAAGAGGAGGAGGAGGAGGAAGGAGGAGGGAGTGGTGAGGAGGGGATTGCAGGTGGGGGTGAGCAGGGGGGAGGGGGGCAGCGAGAGGGTGGTGGAGGAGGGGTATGGTGGCATGGAGGAGGAGGATTTGGAGGGGCTGGAGTTGAGGCTATCTGTAGATATGGATCGTGTGGCTACTCTGGCCAATAGGGAGCTGACACGTGGCGACATTCACCTCATCAAGTTCATTGTGTGTAAGGCACTCCTTTGAACACAACACAGCTCAGCTCAGCTTAAACTCTTTCTTTACGCCTCCCCACCCCCTCACACCCTTCCCCTCGTTCCCCACCCACCCAAACCGATGCCTCCCCACCGGCGCTGTTTGTTTTTCTGCTCCCGCTTTCATTCTCGCCGCCTCTGTACTTTATGGTTCTCGCCCTTCATGCCTACGCTGCGACCTTTATGTCTGTCTACGCCTCTCTCTATTCATCCAGGCACCTCTCTGTATCCTGGTTCATGGTATGTGTTTCCCATGTCTCTCCGTGCCTCTCTCTCGCCCTCTCGTCACGCAGGTGCCGCTCTGTACCCCAACATAGCCATTGCCGATGCGCACAACGGCATGCGGCGAGAGAGCGACCAGTTCTTCCACACGCTCCACGTCAACAGCGCGTGCATCCACCCGTGCAGCAGCCTGTGCGGCTCAGATGCTCCCATCACTGCGGTGAGCTCACATTCCCATCACTGCAGTAATCTCAGATTCCCTTCATTGCAGTAGATTCACTCTCCCTTCATGCGTTCTCACTGCCAGTGCACTGTTCTCACTGTGCATTATCTGGCGAATGCATGTGCACTGCACGGCTTCTCCGATGTACAAATGCGTTATTGCTGGATCGTCTCCCCATCCTCCTTTTCCTTCCATTGTCTAACACGGCCTTTGTGTTCTGTCTGTCCTATCCACACCCCATACCAACCGCCTCACTCTCTGAGCCCATGACCAGAGCGAGCTACTAGTGTACGGCACTCTCTTGGAAACCACCAAGCTCTATCTCTCCAATCTGGTCAGGCAACCTTCAGCCTCTATCTCTATCTGCTTATGCCTGCATTCCTCATGCTCCTTCTCTCCAGTCAGCCTCTGCATCAGTACGCTGCTTGCTTCTCCCTCTTTCTGTCCCTCGTTCTTGCCTGCTTCTTGGAACTGCCAAGTTCATGCGTGTCTGCCTGCTGTCTTTCTCTCCCGTGTTCCCCCCCCACAGATGCGCATACCATCGCTGCCAGCGCTGCTGCTCACGAATCTCTCCATAGACGCCTCGTCATGGACGAAGCTCGCAGGCTGCTCGTGGTGAGTGCCGCCACTCTCTGAGACGCCTCACCACTCCTCGTGCAGTGTTTTATGCATGTGGTTGCAGGTTATGTGGTTCGTGCGTATTTGGAGTGTTCTGCCTGCTTGTTGTGTGCCTGAGGGCAGTGCAGTTGATCATGTCTGGGTATGATGTGTGTGCATGTGTTTGTGCACGTGTGCATACATGTGTGTGCATGTGCATGCGTGTGTGTGCATCGTGCAGACAGCAATGACCATCCGTCAGGACATCGCGTCTCTCCTCCACCAGCGCCTCTCAGCGTTGCGCCCTCACACCCTGCCACAGCAGCAGCAGACGCAGCAGCAGCAGCATCAGAGCCACGCCAGTGAATTTCAGATGTACAGCCGCACATCACACGAAGCCGTCACCCAGGCACCAGTGCACGTGCGGAGGATCCGGACAGCTGAATTCAGTTAAGCTGCCTTGGGTGGTGATGCACGGGCGTTCATTCAGGCGCTCTGTGAGTGGACCTCTGGCTGCCAGGGTGCTGGGGAGGAGCAGCAAGGGGAGCAGGAGGAGGGGCAGGAGGGTGAGGAGAAGGGGGAAGAGGAGGACGGGGGTGCGGATGCGCAGGTGAAGGAGCTCGCAGGTAGGACTGGATGCACATGGGTGGGGGGAGGGGGCTAGTGTTGGTAAGGGAATGGATTGAGAAAGCGGGAGGATGTGAGAGGGGAGAGAAGAGGCAGGATGGAGGAGAGAGGTGAGATGGGAGATGAGAGGCGAGAGAGGAGCATAGGAAGTTGGCCCACTGCACTCACTGCCCTCTCCCACTAATAACCCCTTGCTCGTCCCGCCCTTTATGCCCTTTCCCCCTCTGGCATTTCGTCCTGAGCAGGTCGCATTGCCACCTTCCTGCAGTCCCCTGTGCCCTTCTCCTGCCGCCAGCTCACTCCCATGGCCGCTGCTGCCCTACTCTCCCATACGGCTGTCTCAGCAGCTCCAGCCAACGGTGGAGCACATGATGGCACACATAGAATTGCTAGTGCTGAAATCGGGGCAACAGAGACTAGGGATGGTCGGCAGAAAAGCACTGGGCAGGCAGTGACAAATGCAGCAGTGAATGCAGTGCAAACTGCGGAAGGGAGTGTAGCGGTGGCAACGGCAGAAGCACTGGTGGAGGAGGCAGAGGCAGCACTGCGGGCAGCAGAGGCGTCCAAGAGGTGGGGGGGCGCAGTGCACTTCCCATGTGTTCTTCCCTCCTGCCTCCCATTGCTCTCCGCGTGCTCTTGCCGCGAGATCCTCCATTGTGCTAGTTGTCGTCCCGTGCCACCACCGCTTACCGGACAACCATGAAAAAGTAGGGGAAACCCTGGAAATCTCTGGAGAACTTCAAACTTACAAGCCACATGCATCTTTCTGCCACATGCCTTCTCCTGTCTCCATCTCACCCCTCTTTTTCCAAAGCTTTCCCCTCCATACTTGTCCATTGCGCCCATGTGTGTACTGTGCTTCCATTTATCAGCGGGAAAGCTATCATCAAGGGCGGCATTCTCGTGACGCCATTCCTGCGCATCGGGTCAATTCCCTCGCATGAGACAAACGTCGCCACACAGGCGTCGCTGCACATGCGCAGCCACTGGCAGTGCCCGCTCTGCAGTGGCAAGCTCATCCTCACTCTCCCTGAAACTGTCGACCACCTGCGCGCATGTGGTAACCTGCCCCGCCAACCCCAGCAGCAGCCTGGCACTGCTGCTGCTTCTACTTCTCCTGCTGCTGATGTTGCTACTGCTGCTGCTGCTGGCACGGTGGAGGGTGGTGTAGAAAGGTCAGATGAGCAAGTGCTGCCAGGTGAAGTGCTGGAGACAGCAGTTAGTGAGGGCGACGCTGGGGATGAGAAGGCTGCTGTGGGTCGGCGGCAGTATGAGTGCACTGAGTGCAACGGCAAGACGTTTCTCTTCACTCCGCCCCAGATTTTACAGCACAAACGGTGGCACATAAATCAACGAAAGGCTTGTTAAAGGGGTTGAGTTGACAGGCTCTGCTGTTATGGCTATCAATTGAAAGAGGAGAATGCAAAAGGGTCTTTACGCAGCAAATGCATGCCAGTGAAGAGCAGAATGGGCCCATCATTACTTCATCGTATGCTTGGTTATTTCTCACTGTGCAAGCTGTTGTTCAACGGTCTGCTATTAGTGAGTTCGGAGGCTGAAATGTTTTCCAGGCCCCATGCACGGCGCGAATTGAAGTGAGAGTGACGGCGTTCCAGCCTCCCTACAAGCAGCACACCCCATACAAGACCCGCTCTCGCCGCGAATTCGGAGAGCATGGCGGCGCAAACCCCTTCCTCACCTACAAGCTCGGCGCGCTTCCCCAGCGAACATTCTCTCCGGCACGCGTGCCGTCGATTGATCCCGCGCCTGCTCTTTCGGCAATTAGACTCGCCCGCTGTTCGTCGACGACGCGGAGCAGTAAGAACCCTTGGCAAAAGAGGCTGGCTTCTGGAGTAAGGTGCCGGTGGGAGCGCGTTGGACGGCGACACAAGGGAGGCTTGTTGCTTCCGGGGAGTCTCGTCGGTTACTAGTGCGCGTCGTGGCAGTGCGCGTGTTGGCGGTCGAAGCATCCGCGCAATTTTCTACTTCCGCGAGGAGCGCCACCCCGCGACGGTTCCGACAGGCAAGGTGCAGGCGCGGCAGCGCGCGCAAGCTTCGGTGCGGAAGCTCGACCGCGCTTTGAAGAACTCTCAAAAGCGGCGCCCGCGGAAGTAGAAAATTGCGCTTGGTTACCATGGCCACCACGGGTGCAGCTACAGCAGCAGCAGTACCAGCAGCACCAGGAGCAGCGTGCAGGCGAATGATGCTGGTGGATTTGGTGGTGGATGATGCCGACCGCGCACACACTCCCAACCAGGTGCCTCCATGCCTCCATGCCTCCGTGCCTGCCCCCTCTCCTCTCCTCCCCATTGCTATCCTTCCCCTCGCCTCCTCATCCGCCCGTCCCTCTCATCTTCCCAGCCTACCTTCCCCCATGTCACCTGCAACCTTGGCTCCACATACAACATCCCCTCTTCCCGTGCTTCTGCTCCTGTCTCTTCCCCTGCCCCTGCTCCTGTCTCTGCCCCTGCCCCTGCTCCTGTCTCTGCCCCTGCCCCTGCTCCTGTCTCTGCCTCTATTTCTGTCCCTGCCTTTGACTCAGCGCCTGCGCCTGTCCCTGCACCAATCCCTGTGTCTGCTGCCCTACAGGTTGTGCTTTACGGTGTGACCCAAGATGGAGACTCGCTGTGCTGCCGCGTTCCTGGTAGGTTCGTAACAGCACCGTTCCTCTGCATTTACCCACCGACGGGGCTGCTATGCTCAGCCGCCTCTGCTCCTCTCCGCTTCTCCCCACAGCGTGCATTTTTAGTGCGCTTGAGCAGATAGAGCATTGCCCTAGTGTGAGTGGTAGTGGTAGTGATTGTGATAGTGGCGTGTGGATGAATGTAAGCAGCACACTTGCGAGCGGAGAACTGCTACAGGTATGCGTGTGCATTCTGTGCAAGAATAATCTTTCAATAATCTTTCTTCTCCTACTTCTCCCACTCCCTCCCCCCGGTGCCCCCCACCCCAATGCCACAGACTTCCTTCCTTTCTTCTGGTTCCCGTACCCCTCGCTGCTGCAACCGCACCCAACAGCCACACACACCACAGCCACTGCCGCCCATACACCATCGCCTACACCAGCTGCCCCAACCACAGATACTGCCCCTTCTGCTGATACGCCTTCCACCCCAGATGCTCCCAGTTCCGCTGCTGCTGCTGCTGCCGCTGCTTCTCTCCCTGGCACAATCGGAAGCAGCAAAGCTGTATCAGGGCAGGCGGGAGAGAGCGGGGAAGAGAGCGATGGGTCTGATGATGATGATGATGATGATGATGATGATGATGATGCCCTTGCTGCTGATGGCGAGGAGGAGGAGGAGGAGGAGGAGGAGGAGGAGGAGGAGGAGGAGGAGGAGGAGGAGGAGGAGGAGGAGGAGGAGAGGGACGAGGGTGACAGTGATTACAGCGAAGGTGCTCCTGTTGCGGCCATGCAAGAAGGGGCGGAGGTTAATGGCAGGACAAGTGGGACGTGCCAGGCAGGAATGCTGTTGGGGGTTGAGGGGTTGCGGGATGCAGAACAGCAGGGGGAGCAGGGGGTGAGTGGAGGACGAGGAGGAGGAGGAAGGGATGGAGGGGAGGGTGGCGGGGAGAGGGAAGAGCATGTGCAAGGGGTGTGTGAGCGGGTGAAGCGATGGGTGAATGCGTATGTGCTGGGGTTGGCAGGCAGAGCACGGAGCAAGGGGAAGAACCACATCAAGGGTGAACCGGTCAGTCAGTGCCTCTTCTTACCACCTGCTAACTGCTAACTGCTAGTCTGCTACCACCTGCAGCGTCAATGGTGCGACGAGCATGAGCACCAGCATGAGCATGAGCATTCTTCGTGCATCATGATGCTATGCTCTGCCAGGCGTTTCAGCCTGCTCTGCTCTGCTCGTCACTCCTCATACCTCACATGCTCCAATCGTCCTATTCTCCACGCCCACCCATCGGCCCACTCACCCAACATCCACCGCTCACAACCTGTGAGTGCGTCCTACTACCTATCTACATACCCACCCGCCCACCAGGTGGCGCACATGGCTATGGAGCTCCGCACCCCCATCGTCTACTACCGCCCTGACGGCCCCTCGCGCTACCTCAAGGTGACACCCTTTCACATGCTTTTTACTCGCAACCACCTCTTTGCACTCTTTTCTACACGCTTTCCATTCGCAAGCAACCCTCTATTCCCTTCCTACCCTACGCGTGGCATGCCAGGTGTACGTGTACCATGCACGAGCCATGCCAGCTGTCGCAAAGGCATTAGTGGAGGCAGCAGAGAAGAACCTCATGGCGTCTGAGGGCCTGCAGTGGCCACGTGGCAGTGAGCCTTTTGAGGATAACATCAAGGTGAGAAGGGCTGGGTGGATGTCAGCAATGGCAATGGCAAGATGAATGAGAGCCTTATACCCGTCTCTCATCTCTCGTCTCTTACCCCTCCTCCCTCACTTCTCAGATCCCCCTGCTGCTCTCTCCTCTCCCTCCAACCAGCTGCCCATGCGGTTCCTCGCAGAGACCTCTCTGGCCGGGGGGGCGTGGTGTGTGCTGCACGCACCACACATACTGCCGGCGCGGCCCTCTGCTGCTGCAGCACCAGCTCCTCCCGCACCGCCCTCTCCTTCGCCCTCTCCGTTTCATTCAGCACCATCGACTGTGCCACCCAACACGGCAGAATCACATCTCCCTGGCAACAGCACTGCAGTTCCCAGCCGCACTTTGACTCTCACTCACTGCCCTCAGTGCAGAGTGGACATGGCAGCAGCCTGGCTCGGTGGGACCAGCACCGCACAGCACAGCCACAGTCGTGCATCTGCTGCCATCGCCTTTGCGCCTGGTGGTGACGGTTGCTCGTCCGTGCGTCCTCTCCGTGCGCGTGTGTCTCGCTGTGCCGTTGAGTGTGTGTCCTCATGGCGCTCCTTGCAGTCCCTCTCCCCTGATGTCCTCTCCACTCATGGCACCCCCGATGGCGCCCAGGGGGGTGGGACTTCAGCAGTGCCACTGCCACCAGCACCAGTGGCAGCAGCACCAGCAACACCAGCGCCAGCAGAAGCAGCAGCAGCATCCGTGGCAGCTCAACAAAGCAAGCTCAACATGAGCAACAGCACCACCAGCACTGGCATTGGTCACACCATTACACCGTCCGACGCCCAAATCAACGTTGCTGCGTCACCAAAGCACGAACCAGCAGTTCCTCCCTCTCCTCCTGCCGACCCTGCCCTCCGCACGCCCCACTCCCTCCACGCTTCCAACACCCACACGCTCCATGCACCCCACCCTGCCCCACCGCACTCCAAACCTCTCGCTGACGGCCCTTCTCACCCTACCCCAGCTTATGATGGAAGTGGGGAAGAGAGTGCTGGGTATTCTGGCAAGGCTGCTGAAGCACCGGATACTAGGGAGGGAGGGCCCTCGTCTAGTGCGAAAGCCACTGAAACAACTGCAGGTGTTGGCACGGGGGGAGTTGGGGGAATGGGAGGACTGGCTGATAGGTCTGTGCTGCAGCTGGCGCCAATGGTGGTGCTGTGCATGCATGTGGTGAGCGGTGCTGGGGGCAGGGTGGCTGCTGGGGCTGCAGGAGGAGTAGCGGGTGGGCATAGGAAAGAGAATGGGAGTAGAGGAGGCGTGGGGAGGTTTGGTGCTGGGAGTGGGTTAGGGAGGGGTGGAGGAGAGAGCGGGGTGAAACGGGGGAGAGAGTTGGGGGACGAGGGGCGAGGCGGAGATGGGGATGAGGGAGCAGGGCGGGCAAAAAGAGGGAGGGAAACGGTTGCAGAGGGAGGGGATGCAGTGAGAGAGGAGGATGGTGGTGGGTTGGGTGAGGCTGGTGAGGCTGGTGACAGAGGTGAGAGGGGTGAGGGGAGTGAGGAGAGGCAGGAGAAGACAGCAACAGCGCGTGGCTTGTTTGGTGTGAGTGCTGGGGAGGGCAGAAACGCGGACGAGACGCAAAGGAGTTCTGAGTCGCCTCCAGCAGGGACAAAGGCAGAGGGTGTTGGCACAGGGTTGCGAGGTGCAGGTGCGAATGTGTGGTGGCGGCCGCATGGTGGTGGTGCTGTGAGTGCGAGGGGGAGAGCTGGTGGGGGCTCGGTGGGACTCGGAGGTAGGGGGGATGTGAGCAGTGGGGGTAAGGAGAGCGGGGGAAAGCATGGTTCAGGCAGAGGGAAGGGGCAGGGGAATGGCAAGGGGAAAGGGAAAGGGAAGGGGAAGGGGAATGGGAGAGGGGGGAGAGGAAGCGGAGGAAGAGGAGGTGTAGGAGGGAGGATGAGTCCTGTTTCAGGAGGGAGTGAGAGAGGTGGCGGAACAGAGCGAGCCGAGAGGATGGAGAGGCCTTTTCACTGGTGGTTTGGGCTGCGACCAGCGGAGGGGAAGGAGCAGAGTGGAAGCAGTGGCGACACCAGTCATGTCCGCTCCACTCCTCCTGTTCATACCACCCCACCTTCACATGCCACCCTGCGTTCACATGTCACCCCGCCTTCTACCTCTAGTCACCCCTCCCCTGCGTCCTCTTCCCCCCAACCCCCCCACACCACCATGGCATCCACCTATCATCTTCCTCCACCCTCTCCCTCCCCGCCCGCCACCTCACAATCCGCCCCAGACGCCCCTCGTCCCCCCCTCCATTCCCCCCTCCCCCCTTCACGCGTCCGCTCGCCTTCCCCTGCGCAGTCTCCCCTTCCGCCTCCCCTTCACTCTCCCCTCCCCTCCCCCCTGCCTGCTCCGCCTGCCCCCTCCGCTGGGGACATTGAATCGCTAGGGCTCATGCTTGGGGGGGGCACCACTCAGGCTAGTCGGGATCCCATCCTTGCTATAGCGCACGTCATTAGTGGCACAAGGCGGGTGGGAGGGAGAGGGAAAGGGGTTAGAGTAGGGATGGTGGAAGGGATAGGTGGAGGAGGGGAGAGTGGGGAAGAAAGGGAGGGTAGAGAGAAAAGGGAGGGTGGAACAATGGAGCATGGCTGTATGGAAGACAGAGAACGAGGGTTCGAGCATCGGGTGTTGATTTTCACCCATTCTACTGCTACTGGCGCTGCTTCTGGCGCTGCAGGTGGCGCCGCTGGTGGTAGAAATGCTGCGGCAAGCGAGGGGTATGAGGGAATCTATGCTGCAAGGGAACTGGAGGGCACAGAGGCGGAGTGGTGCAGGGAGGGGTATGAGGGCGTGGGGTTTATGAACAGTGAGATGTATGGCTGGGGGCTGCAGCGCGATCAGGAGAGGGCGCGAGAGAGAAGGCAGGAGAGGGAGAAGGAGCAGGTGCTGGGAGGAAGGGAGGAGGTGCGGGTGTATAGGAGCGAGAGGGAGATGTTGGAGCAGTGGCGGCGGTTCTTTGTGTACGAGCTCGACCCCGATGTGGTGGTGGTGTTCCAGGTGAGCCACAGAACACGCGCAGGTTGGTTATTTAGTGGTTCATCCAGGTGAATACTCAGAAAGCTGTCCTTAGTGTTGTGTATGAGCTCGACCCTGATGTGGTGGTGGTGTTCCAGGTGAGCCTTGAGGGCGCCTCCGAATGTGTTCCATTCCAGGCGAGGCATGAAGCATGTGCGGGTTTCCGAGTGGAGTCAGAAAGTGGTTCTTGTGCTGGAGCTTGAACCAGATGTGGTGGTTTGATGACATGAGATTTTGCCATGCCTCAAACCGGATGCATGCTGTGCATGGCGTGGCATGGCATGGCATGGCATGGCATGGCATGGCATGGCATGGCATGGCATGGCATGGCATGGCATGGCATGGAATGGCATGGCATGGAATGGAATGGAATGTTCATACCATGCCATACTGTGTGCACGGCGTGGCATGTCCTGTGCTACTGGCAATGCGCCATGCCTGTCATCATGCCATCAGGCCCGTGACAGCTGGCAGGTCCTCAAGGAGCGGTGGGCGGCACTGGGACTAGGGGAGCTGGACGTGGGAAGGCGAGGGGATGGGGAAGAAGAGGAGGAGGGAGAGACTGGGGAGGAGCGGGAGGCGGAGGGGACGGGAGAGCAAAGGGCAACGGCACGTGCGGAAGAGGGGCAAGGAGGGCGTGCAGGAGGAGGCAAGAGGCGAGCAAGCAAGGGCAGTGGGCCAGTAGGAGGAGGAAGAGGGGGTGAGAATGAGAAGCAGCGTGGGCGAGGGTTGGTGGTGCGGGGTGTGGTGACGTATGGCAAGCAGTGGGTGCGGCAGCAGCTGCGCATGTCCGCCACCTCCAACCAAGAGACCTTCCAGGTGGGGAAAACGGGACGCGGAGGGGAGAAGGAAATGTTTCCGCTTGGTTGATTGATTCTGCTCGTTTTCTCGTCTTGCTATTGTCCACTTCCCCTCGTAGCCTCCTCACAAGCCAACCTGTGTGTGCTTGGTTTGACTGCTTGTCTCCTCCTCCTCCTCCTCCTCCTCCTCCTCCTCCTCCTCCTCCTCCTCCTCCTCCTCCTCCTCCTCCTCCTCCTCCTCCTCCTCCTCCTCCTCCTCCTCCCTCTCCTCCCCCCCATGCAGGTGCGAGTGGAGGGGCGGTGCATGTTGGACCTGCTGCGAGCCATCCTCACGTCGCAAACCCTCTCCACCTTCTCCCTGCACGAGTGCTGCCAGGTGTGTGTGCGTGTGCACTGCACGCGTGGGGCAGGGAGCATGGGAGGATGTGTGTTTCCCGGGGCTGAGAGGTCTGCTTGGTTGTTAGTTCTCTCAAATAGGGACGCAGCGCAATGACCTTTGAGTCGACTCAATAGTCAAGAGCCATGTAGCATATGCGGGCAAAAGCACGCATGGTAAAGCAAACATGCTGTGATGGCTGTGTCCAACCCAACCTCACAAACCCGCCCTCCCGCCCCTGTGCAACTGCTCCTTCCAATCACTCCCACGGCAGGTGTTCCTCAAGCGGCCACTGGAGCTGCTGTCGCCGGCGTGCATCGCTGCCATGTGGGGCGGTGGTCTGGGAGGGCGCCCACGCCTGCTGCGCTACGCTGCTGAGTATGCCAAGGTGCGCACGGTTGCGACACACAGTTGGATGGGAACAGGGAACGTGGTGGCACGGCGATAAAGAGTGAGGCAGAGAGTGGGGATTCAGCCTCTTACTACCGTGCCTCCTCCCTTGTCCATTTCCCACTCCTTTCTTCCCTCGCCCTCGCATTCTCATCCCCTCTCCCATCCCCTTCCCCGTCTCCTCTCGCCCTCTCCTCCCCCTCCCTGTCCCGTCCTCCCTCTCTCCATCCGCCCGGCCCCCAGGTGGTGCACTTGCTCCTGCAGTCGCAGCAAACCCTAGCGGAGACAGTGGAAATGGCACGAGTCACAGGGCTGTTGCTATCGGATGTACAGTACCGGGCACAAATGGCACGAGTACACAGCCTTCTCCTCCGCACTGCCGGCCCCCACGGCTGGCTGCTAGGCGGTGCCGACCCCTCCGGGAACCTCACGCAGTCGCCCTTCCTGCTGCACCCCAAGGAAGCGCGCACGGCCGGTCTGTACCGCTCTGAACCGGTGGCCGTGCTGGACTTTGCGTCGCTGTACCCGTCGATCTTTGTGGCGTACAACCTGTGCTGCTCGTCGCTGCTACACTTGGGGGACAGGCACCGCGTGCCCGAGGAGCATGTGTTTGTCAGGTCAGTTGGTGAGAGGGGTGGGGCCGACTGTCTGGCAAACATTGCATTGCACCTCAGATAACCTGACATGCGTGCATGCCGCATGCTGCACCCGGGGGACAGGCACCGCGTGCCCGAGGAGCATGTGTTTGTCAGGTGGGTGACAGGGGTGGTACACACATGTGTTTGTCATTTCCCTGCGCGCACGGTGCATGCTGTATGCATATCATTTGCTACGTTGAATCGAAGGCCAGAGACTTGCGACATGTGCATACTAACTACCCCTATCTCACCTCCTCCTCCTATTTCAAACAGGCGAGTTTATGGAAAGTACTTCCTCACTCTCCCTTTTCTCTCCTCACCTGTCCCATGCCCCACGCCATCAGCCCAACAGGAGCAGCGTTCACGCGGGCATCACTGCACCGCGGTGTGCTCCCCCGCATCTGCGCCGCTCTCATCGCCGCTCGCAAAGACACGCAGCGCCGCCTCTCCACACCACCACACGCTCCCCGCACAGGAGGAGAGGGAGCCATGGCTGTGGGTGGGACGGCAGCAACGGGGGCAGAGGCGGTGATGAGTGCGGAGGAGCGGGCGGCACTGGATGGGCGGCAGCGGGCGCTGAAGCTGTGTGCGAACGCGCTGTACGGGTTCACGGGGTCCAATGCGTCTCCTCTGCGCACCGTGGCTGTTGCCGACTCCTGCCTCGGGTCAGTCTGTCAGTCACTCCCGTGCTCTCTCACTCTCTCTTTTTCACCCTGCAGCCGCATCGCCCCCTCACTGCGTTCCCCCTCATCCCTCCCTTCCTTACTCACATCCGTCCTTTCCATGCTGGACTGGCTCCTAAGAAATCTATTACCATCCCCTCCCCTCCCTCCTCTCCTCCCCACCAGCCTGGGTGCAGCTGCGTGCATGCATGCCAAGGACGCAGCTTCCCAGGTCTTTCCCGGGGCATGTCGGGTGATCTACGGGCAGACAGACAGCATCTTTGTTCTCTTCCCTGGGAAGACCCCAGCCGAGACGGCAGCAATGGGAGCGGAGCTAGCATGGCGCCTGTCGGAGCTCTTCCCTGCCCCCATGGCAGTGAAGCTGGAGCGGGTGCTGTGCCCCTTCATGCTGCTCCAGGTGCCACCACCATGCCACCACACCACTTGCTTCCCCTGTTCCTATTGTGTATTCTGTCCCTGCCTCCTTTCTCGTTCCCCCAGGTCTTCTCCCTGAGCTGCTTCTTCCCTGCTCTGTTCCTCCTCATTCCTACTCCCTTCTCCCTTCTCCCTTCTCTCTTCTCCCTTCTCTCTTCTCTCTTCTCCCTTCTCCCTTCTCCCTTCTCTCTTCTCCCTTCTCTCTTCTCTCTTCTCCCTTCTCTCTTCTCTCTTCTCCCTTCTCTCTTCTCCCTTCTCCCGTCTCCCGTCTCCACCCTTCTCACTTCTCTCTTCTCCCTTCCGTATCTCACTAGTTGAACGGGTGAACCCCCCATCCCCCTTTTTCCCCCCCCGTTTCCTTGCAGGTCAACCGCTATGCAGGACGACAAGTCTTCCCTGTGCCATCTCCCCCACCACCTCACCAGCACCAAGGCAGCACCCCAGCAGCAGCAGCAGCAGCAGCAGCAGGATCAGCAGCAGCACAAGAAGAAGAAGAAGAAAAGGACATGTCGCAGCTGCTGGTGAAGGGCATTGAGACGGACCGCAGGGACGTGCCGCTGTTTGTGCGCGCCACGTGTCGCGCCGTGATTCGCCGCATCCTTCTGGATGGTGACGTGGCAGCGGCTGCACGAGAGGCGAGGGCGGCCGTGGTTCGGCTGATGACGGGCGGATGTAGCATGTTCGAGCTCATTATGACAGGGGTAGGGGGGACTGCATGCATGCGTGCATGCGTGTGTGTGTGCATGCATGTGTGTGTATGAGTGGATGTGTGCATACGTGCTTGCATGCATGTGTGTGTATGAGTGGATGTGTGCATACGTGCTTGCATGCATGTGTTTTCATTCGTGTGCGTGTGCCTATGTGGGCTGCCGCTGCCATCCTGCCATGCTGCTTGCTGACATTCTGGATCACGTCAGCAAAGCTGCACCACACATGCCATACGGCTTCTCTTCCCTGGACTTGACTTGTCTCCCCTGCCTGCCCCGTCCTCTGCCCGCCCCGGCTCCCATACAGGGCCTGTGGCGAGTGAACGACAGTGACCTATCCGCCATCGCACAGCAGACAGCAGCAGCAAGTGCAGCTGCGGCAGGTAGAGCATCCAGAGGCCTCGACTCCCCTCAGCGACCAGAGGCAGCAGCAGGCGGGGGAGCAGGGAGAGCGGGGGCCGGGCCGGCGACGGCTGAGGAGGGCCGGGGCCCACATGTGGCTCTCGCTGCTCGTCTCAAGGCGCGCGATCCTGACCGTCGGTTTCTTATTGGGGAGCGGATTCCATACATTCTTCTTGACAATGGTGCAAGGCTGCAGGTATCTAACAATAAGCCAACTTTGTTGTTGCAGGACGCAGCTCGAAGTTACGTACTTTTTCTTGTTGAATAGACCGTGTTTTCGCTCTACAAGACATTCCTTTCCCCGCTTTTCCAGCCATGGTACCTACCATCGCTGCAGGTATTCAGTACGGCTGCAAGAACGTTATCTATGCTGTTGCAGCAGCTTCACTCACCTTTCTCTCGTGTAGACAAAGAATGTGTTTTCGCTCGCAGTGTTTCTTGAAGTAGGACTGCTCCAACCGTGCTGCTGCCCTGTTCTTTCAGGATGACATGGCTGAGGAGCCTCTCTTGGCCCTTCTTTCCCAGCTGCCACCCAACGCAGCTGTGTACGCACGCAACAAGCTGCAGAAGCCACTCTCCTCCGTGCGTCCACCCACTCTCTCAACGCTCACTCGTCTCCTCTGCTTCTGCTTCTGCTTCTGCTTCTGCTTCTGCTTCTGCTTCTGCTTCTTCTTCTGCTTCTGCTTCTGCTTCTGCTTCTGCTTCTGCGTCTGCTTCTGCTTCTGTTTCTTCTGCTTCTTCTGCTTCAGCTGACTCACAACAAGCATTGCACAAGTTCATATTGAGAGGCTCTGAACAACCGTTGACCCTTGCATACACCCACCATAGCTCCACACACAGCACATTTCCACTCTCCCATTTCTTCCCTTATCCACCCATCACCATCCCCAAGTCAGGCTCTCACTCCTCCCCTCCCCCCACCCTCTCACCCTCACACTCGCTTCCCCCTGATTCAGATTTTCCAGCACCTCCTCTCCCCAGAGGACATGGCATCTATCTTTGCACCAGTCCCCTCGTCCCAGCGCCCTGCCATGCCTCCTGCCTTCTCCACCTCCTCTCCCTCCGCTGCTCCACTGTTCACCTCACCGCACGCCACCTTTGCATCTGGGAGAGCACCAGGGCAGCAGCAATCTGCAATGACGACTTTCTACAAGAAGCAGGCTGCATGCCTCGCGTGCAGGTGAGTGCCTCGCGTGCAGGTGAGTGCCTCGCGTGCAGGTGAGTGCCTCGCGTGCAGGTGAGTGCCTCGCGTGCAGGTGAGTGCCTCGCGTGCAGGTGAGTGCCTCGCGTGCAGGTGAGTGCCTCGCGTGCAGGTGAGTGCCTCGCGTGCAGGTGAGTGCCTCGCGTGCAGGTGAGTGCCTCGCGTGCAGGTGAGTGCCTCGCGTGCAGGTGAGTGCCTCGCGTGCAGGTGAGTGCCTGGTAGGAGTGTGTCTGGCCTGTAGGTGACTATGCGGCTTGCATTTAATTCGTATTGAATGTGCCAAGCATGCTGCAGAAGTATCCTGTTCCTTCTGTTTCCAGGGCACCATTGCGGCTCAACTCACCCCAGGCCTTCTGTGAAGCATGCCGACAGTCTTCCCGAAGCCTATCATTTGCTATCACACAACAGCGTTTTGAGGCATCGCTTGAAGCTCGAAGGCAGCAAGCAATGCAGGTGTGCATCCGTTGCCACTTGGGAGGGGAACTTGCTCCCGTAGTCTGTATCAATGCTGAGTGCAAGAATCTTTTCTATCATTGGGAGTCCTATTTCAGGCTGGGGAGGGCAGCGAACATGGTTGAAGTTGCTCTAGATACCTTGAGTTTCTAGTTGTCTTTTGAAGCCGTACCATGTGTTTTATTGGTCAGTGAAGGAGCTTCGCGTCAGGGTCACTAACCCGGATACACCAAGTGGTAGTCCAATTACTCCTCAAAACAGATCCAAAAGGGCATACCGTGTGTCAGAAGAGTAACTTTGGAGGTTGAAGCTTAGGAAATTGAAAGAGCAAAGAGAGGCATTAGGAAGGGCAAGGGCCCAACATAAACAACCAAGAGTTAGGGAACCCCACACTGGGCGCCTACTGGTGGCTTATATGATGGTCTACTATCGCATCTTAATGCACATACTTCATTCATTAGAAAATGTGAGGGTAGTTTTCTTAGAAAATATATATTACACTTACCCCCTAGTTATCTCCACAGCATCAAGCTTGGTATTCCCGCAGTTCGCATGTCGCGATGGTTCGTCGCCTCCAACGCGGTCCCAACTACACACCCTGGGCTAGCTTCGGCGCCGCAATTTTCCCCCACCATTCTCTTTCCCAAACCAGCATAGTCTGGTTCGGCACATGTCTTCCCAGCGCCTCCGAAGAAATACCACTCAATCGTTCCGTACCTTCTTAGTTCGGCTCGGCATCTCTGCGGTTTGGCGGAGCCGCACACCAACCACATGGTTTGAACCCGACATGCTCACATGTACGTTTACAATTTGTGCCCCCAAAAGTATTCCAAAGAAGAAACCAACGATGTCACGAGTAGATAACCCAGACTCGTATCCTTTCCTCCAGCGTTGGCAGCATGATGAATGTTGCTGACCAGCTGAACAGATGAACCGATCTCGGGACTGGGAATCATTTAATTGTTTTTTTTTTTTTTTCGGTACAGAACCTGTGGCTTGGAGAGCTCTTGCTACAGATTTTTTACCACCGAGGACTTTCCCCCTTGCCTGATCGCACGGACCTTGACTTCCCCTCCCCGCACCTGCAGACTTTAAACCTTTGTAGCGCCCTTGCCCAGTCAGCTTTGCACATTTTTCAGTGGATGTACAGTCTCAAAGCCTGTTTGGCTTTGATTTTCTTTTAGTAGAAAAAATGACAGAAAACCCATATCTACACACACAATTACAAAGTTGCAGGATCAATGGTGCCAGAAAGCCTTTTTTGGAACGCTTCCTCGTTAAACCTGCCCACAACGTGCCAAAATTCTGTTGCCCAAAATTAGACGGGTGTTCCCGAGCCAGGGCGCTGGAAGGCGATTTGACAGAATGAGGAAGAGGGGGAAGCACATGACAGCCTCGAGAACACTGAACATTGAAGCTCGCATTTTGGTTCGGGAGGGGAAGCTTTGGCTGCGCGGCGAGAATCTCATTACATTTATATGTGTACCCCCTCACCATTCAACATCAATCCAGTATCCACTCCTCTCTTCCAACCCAAGGTCAACACTTCCAGGTGCTCCTGTCTGCACAACCCATCGCAATTGTTCCCCGAAAGTCCGAGCAGTTTCCCTTGCCGCTTCGCTGGTTGTACAAGTGCACCCTCGTCTCCCGCATCCTAACGTCTGTTACCGTGTCGTGCCAGATCATTACCATGGCGGCGCTCCAAGTGTCGCATCGTTTCAAGCCATTCCGCCAAGACGCTCTCATGATCGTCATCCTCGTGCTGCTCGCTGTCGCCATCGGCCAATGCGACGCGCTGATCCAAGGTGAGCCGTCGCATTCATTTTTTTGTCGTGGTATACTTAAAGCTGCGCAAGCGGTGACAGTCGACAAAGATATGGCGGTCGTATAACCCTGTCTCCCCCACTTTTGCGCATCTTTTCAGCACCAGCGCCGCGGCGTCAGGCCAACCTCAAGCCCTACTGCGTGCATCTTCGCTCCTCTCTTCCCATCGCCGCTTACCGCGGGGGATTTTCAGTCTACCAAGGCGGATGGCAGGATGACGACAGGATCGGCAACGCCTCCTTACCAGCCGGCCTCACGGCCACACCGGCCACGGTGGCCGCGGAGGCGCGGAGCATGATCGGACGTGGAATTCCCCGGCGCGCGCGGCTGACGACGAAGAACCCGCAGATCCGCGCGCACTCGAAGTCGATGGATTATCAGCAGATGCGAGTCGCCGCTTCTGTGGGGCTTTCCATGAAAGATCTCACGTACAGGTGAGAGAAGCCATGCGGCACTTACAAAGTGATCCCTGAGCGGGGCGCACCGGGGAATCCAAATCTCAATTTCAACTGGTACGGTAACTCCTTCCGCATTTGTAACTTGAATGCGATCAAATATGTTCTTCCCACCCGCTTCCCCCCGTCAGCTACAAGTACGCGATGAACGGTGACGCCCTGGCAGGTGTGGAAGCTGCGGCGTCACGCGGACGTGGCGGCGGTGGTCGAGAGCCGCCAGTTACAAAAGATGACTACAGGCTCGCCAACGTTCCTGGACATGAGTGCGGAGTTGTGGCCGGTCAACGGCGGACAGACACTCGCGGGTGACTACATGGTCATTGGAATGATCGACTCCGGCATCTGGCCGGAGCACCCGTCCTTCGATCCCACGGTGAGATCATGACGTTCATCATCGCAGATTCAAGAGCTTTTATCGTCCCCGGCCGCCTTTGTTTAGCACTTGCAGTCAGTGATTGCTGAAAGGTGGTCTGAGTGCTGCCCCTTCCCCAACAGGATTTCAACGCCACGAGACCAGTGGGATGGTCGGGCACGTGCGACACGACATCAGACTTCAAGTGCAACGACAAGATCATCAGCGCGCGTGTCTTTTACCAGGAGGCCGTAAAGGCGTTCGGCAACCCGGACCTCTCCGCTGACTGGGACTCGCCTCGCGACTTAGATGGACACGGCACCTGGTGTGCCGGGTGCGTGGTGATTTTTACTCTTGACTCCACGCCGCGTTGCTACTACTAGTAGCTTGTCCTCCTCTTGACCTTCATGCCAGCCGCCACCCTCACTACTTCTAGCACTAGTAGTTCATCGGTCTCTCGGTTCTCTCGGTCATCTTGTAAGCAACCAATCATTATCTTCCTCCCCATCCCTCTTCTTGCTCGTGTGTCTCAGAGTCGCGGCCGGCTACAAGGACGTCTCCATGGCGGGCGGCAAGGCGAGCGGCATGGCGCCTTCTGCCATGCTGGCGGTCTACAAGGTGGCGTGGATGTATAACAAGAGGTTAACTACCCTTATGGCTGACGTATATGCGGCCGTAGACCAAGCGGTGAAGGATGGCGTGGACGTGATCTCGCTTACAGTGGGTGGTACCAATCCCCTGGAGACTTATTTTGACGACATCCCGTTCCGCTTTGCGAACATCGCGGGGATTGTCACGGTAGCAGCTGCGGGCAATTATCAATCTCCTCCCATGAACGCCAACAAATACAGGACCATTTCTAACTTCTCGCCTTTCTACCTCACTGTTGGGGCAAGGTGAGTGGCAGCAATCGAACGCAATGAAAAAGCAGCTTGTTCTGCTTGCAATGGCAGCCCAGCTTTGCAACACACCCTTTCTGCTTTTCATGTGGGGATCCATTCCACTCATTGCTATTTCTTGATTTGCCCTTTTTCTCCCACAGCACTATTCTGCGTGGTGGAGTTGTCTGCAATAAAACTGTGACCAATGCAGCCAACGCCGCCCCTAGGGTTGGGGCCATCTCATCCACGGGCCCCCTTTGCCACCCTTCCATTAATACCAGAGATGCTTACGCTACCAACAGCATCTTAAAGCCCGATGTGGTGGCTCCTGGGGTGAAGATCTTCTCTGGATATCCTGCAGCTGCGGTTGGAAACAGTGGGTCATTCATTCGGCAGACTGGGACGTCCATGTCGACGGCTCACATGGCGGGCATTGCGGCTCTCATTATGCAGAAGCGCCCCTCATGGAGCCCTGCGCAGGTCATGTCTGCCATCATGACCACTGCGATCGGGACAAATACTGCGGGTCAGAAAATCAAGACTGCCAACAACAAGGATGCTACCCCATGGCACATGGGTCAAGGGCATGTTTCCCCAAACGATGTGCTTTACCCCGGCCTCGCGTACGATGCAAATGCTGCCAACTACAGAAACTTCCTCGCCGGGCAGAGCCTCAAGATTACGAAGACTTGGTTCCCCAATGAACAGCTTGTGCGCATCGCTCCTCGGAACCTGAATCGCCCAAGCATCTCCATATCCCGGCTCAAAGGGACACGCATTGTGAGAAGGGTGGTAACCAACGTTGATACAACAGCGTCTACCTACACGGTCAAAGTGGTATCCATGTATAAGGTGGAGTATACGATTGACCCGGGTTCATTCACCATTGCTCCAGGTGCGAAGCAGAAGTACACTGTGACTTTCAAAGTTTTAGAAGCTTCAGAAGAGTTCCAGTATGGTTCTTACACTTGGGAGGATGAAAAGGGTCACTCTGTGCTTACTGTGATGGCTATCCAGC